TCTCCTCCTCACAGCAGTAAATAAATAATGAGAACACTGTTAAAATTCTGCCAGTATTCCATTGCTCTGCTGCTATCAGCCCTCTGCCTCCCTCCAAAGAAAAGGAAGGCCTCGGTGGAAAGACACAAGACTGGTTTTCTTTTGTTTTTTTAACATGTTTCCATTCCTTCTGCTTTAATCTCCCCTCTAGTTCATCCCTCTCTCTTGCTCCTTTACTTCTCCTTCTGCCTTTTTACTCCCCATGACAAACTTCTCTGCTGATTTTCAAATGCTGCTGCTGCTGCTGCCTTTTCTTTTTACTCATGTATGCATAATATTTTCCATTAACATTTTTACAAGACAAAAGCTAGCAATTCAACCCTCTTGTGCATTTTGGTGATGCAGAACGTGGGCCATGCAAATGCTTTTCAGCTTCTTGCCCTGCGTTTGGGGGTTGAAGTTGAGGTATGTGGATCATCAGGATGAAGGTAGAGATCAGCGGGAAATAGGAGGGCGGTGACCACCGGGCTACCTGCCCTTTGTTCGGGTTGGAAAGCAAAAAGCAGCAGCCGATAATGTGAAACGACAAGCGTTTGGTATTTGAGCCGGATCGTGACATGAGCTACAAGGCAGATCCGCCAGTTTAAATGTGATGATCCCTACTTTTCCCTGTCTTGTGGAATGGGCAGTCGATATTTCAGAGTATGATAACACAGCACACTGACCTTTTGTGTTGAGATGAAGATCAAAAGCAGACAGATTGGGGCTGAGAAATGCACGAGTGATAACAAGACAATGAGATGTCTGCGTATGCGTGAGGAACTGTTAAGTATGTGTGTGTGTGGGGAGGGAGAATTTGGTATTAGTGCCTATGTGGCATTGTGAGCCGGGCTAAAATACATGTAAGCCTGTTGAACCAGACACAGCCACCATGAAATCCTGTTTCAGACTGGCTTACAGCAAATATCACAAAAGGCGAGGTTGTGTGTGTGTGTGTGTGTGTTTGTGCGTGTGGTGGAAAGAGGGAGCAGCAGATAAACACAAACTACAGCACTTGATGCTTACGAAGGCTGTTCTTTTATTCATGGCAGCTGATAAATGATGAGAGAGAGAGTTCAAACACATAACGATGAAAAAGAGGTCAAAAATACAGTATAGAAAGGTCAATCATGAGTCACAGTAAATAAAATTTCTTCCTAGCATGTTGGTATCAGCAACTCTAATCCTTTCTGTCCCACGGAGCGTCTCACTTCTGCAGCCCAGAGGTATTTGGCAGTGGCACTGCAGCAAATGTGCCAGTAAAGCCTTTTCTAAATAGAAAATTAGCAAGGCAGTGGCGTTCTGAGTGTGAGTGTTGAGTTGCACAGGGAGAACAAGGGGAAAGGAATTTCACTCACAAATATCTCCCAGGCTGGGCAGATACTTAAAATGAAATGTCTCCATATGCCTCCGCCTCATCCTCCCTCAGCAGGTCACTCTGATTACTGCAGAAAACCATCGTTCCACCCCATCTCCGCTTCACCACTGCTCTCCCACACAGTCATTTGCATTTTTCCTCTCTTGGCTCTCCTCCATATCTTTCAATTCATCCTGTCACACCTGTTATTCACTTGTTTTTCCTTCCTTATCCCTTCCCTGTTTCTTTTCCCTCCTTCTTTTGTGGCAGCACAGAACCTCATCTGAATGCACAGCCAGTCATCAGCTCTCCACCTGCTTTGGGCTTTTTTTTTTTTTTTTTTTACTGCCATGTGAAAGTACAATCACCCCTTCTTTTTTCATTTCTAACACTTTTTTTTTTTTTTTTACTGCCATGTGAAAGTACAATCACCCCTTCTTTTTTCATTTCTAACACATCTCATAACAACACAAGGTAACATGGAATCACTTAAATGTCACAAGATGAATAAACATATTCCCTGCTTGTTTTGATTGGCCAGTGTGTGGAAACCTTGATTTTTCATTCACTTTTATGTGGCTTTGCTTGTTATCTCGTCCTGTCCTGCTCCAGCACAACGCAGAGACTTTCCAGTGCTTGCTCTCTCTTGCCTGCAGACAAGCAGAGAGAGGGAGCGGTAGGGTAGAGGAGAGAGTGAGGAGGAGGAGGAGGAGGGAAAGGGTATAGCAAATGAGGTGTGGGTAAAAATTATGGGGGACTAGAAAAGAGAGCAGTAGCCCAGCCCTGGATATGGAGAGAAAGAGGGTGGGGGAGAGGCAGAGAAACAGAGAGATCATACAGTGTAAAATCCAGAAGATTCAGATTCAGTAGTAGTGCAGCGTGCAGATCAGTAAAAGCTCCATCACCGCTGGGGAACAGCCGCCTTTTGTGTCCCCCCCCCTCCTCCCCTCCCACTGCAGTGGGGGAGTGCACTTGCCGTCGTGCCCAGGGGGAGAAGCCAAGAAGTATCCTCCAATCAGCCGTTAGTGATTTCCCTCATCTTGTGAGGCTGCTGATGGTGATTTATCACTGACCTGAGACAGGCGCTGCACTCTGCTCAACACTCCAACCACCTGGAATACTCACCATGGTTTTTATTTCTTTTCTCACATTTAAACACCCTCCTGTGGATATTTCAAACAGAATGACCAGAGGACAAAAGGAGGATTAAAATGGACTTACTGACTGCCATTCTTGCTGATTTTCTATCCTGCTCCAGGCTGAAGATGGACTAACTTTTGCACGTGCATTCGAGCCATCTGAGGACATCTTTATATACTCGGTGCTCTAATAGGAAGGCTTTATTTGTCATGTCATGCCATGTTTTATTCTGAGAGCATGGGAGGCTGGGGATCGTCCTAGATACTCGGCTGCAACAATCATGTAGCTCTGACACTCAGGCAGATAGAGGTGAACAGGAGATGGAGAGAGGGGCTGACAGTTGCAGCACACCTGCCCGCTGAGCATGTCTGACACTTCACTGTAGCTTGATTGGCTGTCTGCTCTCAAGAGTTTCACTATCAGGTTGTTCCCCCCCCCCCAAAGTTATCATGCTTCTTATTGAGTACAGATAGTTTTCCTGTGTGCACGAGGGCGTGAGTGTGTGTGTGTGTGTGTGTGTGTGTGAGGAGCCAGAGTTTGGGATTACACACCCTCTGGAAAGGATACAGGTGTAGTGGAGCCTTGAATGAGGATTAGCAGCTCTAACACCTTGTCGCCGGCAGCACACAGGGCGATGGACCTTTCAGACAAGACTCTCAAGCTCCGACCGCTCGCTGGAGGATTAAAGATAAAGCTTTAACCGACACGATGAGACTCAGAGGGCGAGGAAACAGCAGAGAAAGTTACATTTAGATTCAAGTTCGGGTTATCCTTGAAGGATGCAGGCTGATATTAGAGTGAGTGGGAGTTCCATATAAATAGTCTGAGGCCATTTATTATAGCTTGGCAAGGACAAACTAAAAGGCATGAGAGAATGTGTTGGTAAATATGCAGAGTATAGGCACAGGTTTATTTAAAAAGATAGCCTGGCTTTGTAAATGAAATAATTGGATATTAACTGCTAATGTGATAAACAATCTTGAGCACTCCGATAGGCACAAAATCCAATTCATCCTTGAGTTGTTTTTTTTTTCTTTTCAATTTCCCGACACAGTCAAGATAGAGTCTTGTCTGAAGAGGTCACTAATTTAATTACAATCCATCATTCAGCCTCATAATAGAGCAACTGACCAGAGTGCTGAGTGCTGCAGCTGAGAAACTATCATGGCATCTGACAACAGATCAGATAAAAGCTGTTATTTACATTAGTAGTGAGTAAAGCTAAGATTTTGGGATGTTTCATTTTGTTTGGAGAAGCTATATTAAAAAATGACTCTTCCCCTGATGCCAGGTTTGCTCACAGCTACAGGAAATGTTGTGTGTTTAGTAAAGCTGGTAATAGAAAGAAGTGTGGGCTGTTTCCCGTCTTGATGCATCTGCAGGTGTGCATATTTTCTAGGCTGGTGTCCCTGGCATTCAGCTTATCTTAGCTGCACAGCGAGGGGCTTACACATCCTAGCTAATGGTGTAATGGGCGCCACCGTACACCACCCAACCTTCCCATCTCCTCCACATGATTTCAATAGAGGTAAATTAGGAAACAGCTTTGAAACATGCAGTGATCCTCAAGTGGACGACCAGAGCTGGTGAAGAGGGGCCTGACGGGGCTTTCAGGAGGCGAAGTTATCTCAGCAGACACGCTCAGCAGTCCTTCAGCAAACCTGGAAAGCACAGAGAGACTAGTGGGTGGGAGGCTCGGTGTGGGAGTGAGGAAAGCGGGAGGAAAAACAGGACTGAGGCAAGTTCTTTGATAGTTGCATTGTTTGTATCTAACTTGTTCAAAGAGCATTGCTGAAAATGTGCTGTTTGGAGGTTTAGTGCTGTGAGTGAATAAACTCAGGAGCAGCGTGGAGGAGTTCAGCTAGAGTTCTGCTGGGAAAACCTGCTCTGTACCGCAGTTTCTCACATTAAAGAACCAATGTAGCTTGGGTACGGCGAGTATTCTCTGTGATCATTCTTGACAAGTCACTGGATGAATTGACTGAAACAACTGCCTGATCTGTTTAGTGAAGCACAACAACCAGCAGGACTCTTCCAACACGTCTTTTCTACGGAACCAGCTCACAATCCTCCTCGTTAAAAACCGTGCAAAGATAAGATTACCGGGACGCTGGATGATCTGCGACAAGCACACAAACTTAAAACAAGTTGAATTTTTTTGCCTGCAATGGAGACAGAAGCAAACACGTGGGCTCGCTGCTCTGAAACTCTCTCCACGAATAAATTTACTCTGGATTATAACACTTGAATTGTAAACACAGCACAAGGCAAGCGACGCAGCCAATTAAACTGTGCTCTCCCCGGGAAGGTGTGTGTTGTGCGCTGCTCTGAGGAGGACTAGTGTTATATGCCACAACCCTGCGAATGAGGGTGGGGCTCTCCCACTGCCACAGACAAAGACCACACAAAGAATCCTGCTGTGAGAACTGGTCATCCTGGGGCAGCTGCTGGACCTGCACAGTCCAGCACCGTGTCAAAAGTCACAATGGGGTGCAACATGTGTGTGGTTCAAAAGCCTGAAGACCAATACAGGGTCATGTTCCAGGTGAGCACTCTGTCTCTTCTGTCTGAGACGCTCAAGTTTCTTTCTTCAAGTCTTTCAGCATTCTTTTATGAGCTCCCTTTCAAGTATTCCCTGTCATTTTGTCTTAACTTGGCCCTTTCTTACAGTGACGCTGCTGGATTAGTGACAGTCCTCATGCTAATGTTTCATCATCGTCTCTTTTAACTAAACCCCGTATTAAATGACTAATAACCGGTTTTGAATACCAAATACATTTTGCATAAATCAGCCTGTTACTGCTGTGATGGAGCAGCATAAATAGGTAATTTATGAATAAGTCAAAGTAAAACATTATGCAACCACGTTATGTAATTAGAAAAATAACAACATGACAAACACCGTTATTTGCATTGATCGAAATGTCAAGGATAGATAAGGCCATTGGTTTATTTATTAATAAATCAAAGTAAACCACTGGCACCACATTAAACCATCAGAAACATGATAACATCACATGGAGCAATTAATAAAGTTAATTAGCTGACGGATTTGATACAAGCTCCAGATCATTTAACCTCTGCTAAAATCCACCTTTTTATTTGATGTGTGTTATTTCAAGTGTGTTTCTGCATGTATAAATTAGCCTATAGGCTCGTGCCATTTGAGCAGGGCTTTTAATTGCAGTTGGAACAGTCGTTCAGCGACAGTAACACTGATAATTATAATAATGGTGCTTCACAGTGATTATGGCGATATGATCATAGAGAGCAGAGCAGCGCTGTATGACACACAGAGAGACGCTGGCACCGAGAACGTAGACTCGTGGTGCAGAGCCACAGAGGCAGAAGGATGGATGGGTTGTTAAACTGGGCTAAAGTGTTATGAGAGAGAGGGGTTGCCACGGTTACAGCCTCAGCACCACCTGCCAACTGGGACCACAGACAGTATGTGAGTAAGCTCATCTGGCCCAGCCCGAAGGACGCTACTGCTCGGCAACTCCGTGATGTATAGGGTGACCAAAATAAGTCCCATGCTTACTAAGCATGAAAAATGCTGGGCACCCATGGGAATGCAGCGCAACACTTTTAGTATCTGTGGCACCAGCAGGGTTTGTGTTGCATGTTGGATGTCGGACCCAGGCCAGTTCACTGAGCTGCATCTGGTGCCAGAGGCGATGCCAAGAGAGAGGAAAACAGGAATCGAGTCCAAATAGAGGCCCGGTAATGAGTCGAAGAGGGAGTAAGAATGAGCAAATGAAAGAGGGAAGGGAAAGCCAGACCGTTTTTCTTTCTTTCAATCATTTTTTTTTTCCCTGTTGCTTGCCCTTAGATGTCATAAGTAATGGATTTGAGCGCTTCATGGAGCAGGGGTGCATATAAAGGCTTGAGCGACTTCACAAATCACCTGGGTGTTAAAGAGCACAACGGGGTGCTCAGTCTGGCATGTGATCATAAAACCAGAGCAGGGCCGGCTCATTCTGCAGTCAGTGACCTTATCTAACAGGAATCAGCAGTAACGACACTGACCACATGCAGGTCAGCGTCCTTGAAAGCGGAAATCAGATCATTTGATCTGGTCAGGTCAACTGTACAGTGGAGAAGATTGTCATCCAAGAGCACTTTCGGCTCGGCGAGACGCCTGCATGTGGTTTCCAGACGGGTGTGGCGATGAGTGGAGCGAACGCTGACAGGCAGGAGATGGGTTGTATGATCTGGAGCATGCAGAGGAGTTGTCATGTTATATGCAGAGCTGTTGTCTGACTGGTGGCTGTGTAAAGATAACAGATGCTTTGGGGTGGTGGAGCAGCAAGACTACATATATTGTGGTTAACCTGAAACAACATTGCAGAAGCACGAGGAAAGAGAATAAATGCAGGTGGAATATCACAGCAGGGCCAGAGTTGTTGGCTTTGAGGGGCTGACTAGTATAAGTGCAATGAGAATATAAAGAAAACTGGAGGTCTCTCATGAGGAGCATGAACTGGAAAAGAAGTAAAAATGTATAACGCAAAAATACTAAAATCAGCAGAGAGGTGGACACAGGCAACATGCTGCTTTTTCTATAAAATTCAGTCTGAGCCATTTCACTACAGCAGATCTTGCTGTGCAGATGGCTGATTAATCCAAACATCATGCCAATATCTAATCATTGAAAAAAAATTATCATAAAAGGGAATCATAATTACATTTCCCCCCCACAGTTCATGCATTTCCACGCTATATATTCTCCCTGCAGAGGTTTGCAGCTTTGAGCTGTTTTTCTTAACTAACGTGTATAATTGCACCTTCAAATTAGATGCAGCCTACTGAGTAATTTGTCTGTCTTTAGACAATAAATACAGCATTAAACAGCTTACAGCTACACCGTGCTGTAAAACCAGGCTGTTAATTTTGACTATATCAAAACACTTGCTTCTCTTGCCAAAGGAATAAAACTCATGCATTATACATCGGGCCTCTGCTACACATCGGCTGCACACTGGTGCTTGGTACACACCCATTGGCATGTTTCTAATCAATATTGCTTCCTATAGCCCCGAGTAAAAAAAAAGCATATTGTTATTCAGTTGATGAATCACAGATTCAGCTGCAGACCTGTGTGCAAATCATAAACCATTTCTGAGTGAGATGTTGCATTTTACATACATTGTACAGAGTACCTGACCCACACACACACACAGAGGAAACCTGTGCATCCCCCCTGCAGCCGCTCCCTTCTTTTTCCTCTCACTGTAAAGCAGCAGGCTGTTTCCATGGCAACCGGCGTCATTAAACAAACCTAATGTGCCTTCATTCACAATGACAAGAAGAAACATGCTGACATTCACAACATCGGAATCAATAACGACCGGCAGACGCTCACAGCATTCACACCCAGGGCTTGTTCATGTGCGTGAGCGACAAAAATACCCACATGTGAGAGGAAAACAGACCGAAGGTGGACAACATCAGTGGTACATCTGACAGCATGATGTGATGTAACACATCAAAAAAATCTAAAAGGAATTATGTAGTGTAGGGCTGCTGTGTTAGACTGCACGAAACATTATGATATTTTCCCAACGATCTTTTGCTCTTTCTTAAATTGTTCTATTAATTTCATCGGTAACACTTTGATTTAACCCCCTATTTAGCATCTACAAGCACTAGGTAGTAATATAATACATTTATTATTACAAATTACAGTGTAGTAACAGTGTAGTTACAGTCAGATATGAGGACAGGTGCTTGTTAATGTGCAGTGTTTTAACAATACCAACTTCTCCTATATGAGCCTGTTTAAATATAAACACAACTGTATATTATATTGCCATTTATCAGTTTAAACACCAGCATCCAGTCAACAAATTCATCAATAAACATTTATATAGACATTTTGACTCTATTACGACTACATTTACAGCATGTTTGGACTCATTTATAAAATGTTAACGTAAAGCTTATACATGGTAAATGTCAAGTGGCGCAAAGAAAGAAGAAGAAAAAAACAGTTAACTCTGGTTAATTGGATCGACTGACAGACTGTTACCTTGTAGGGTGTGAGCTTCAATGTGCAAGTCACATGTGCGTGTCTGTGCACAAATACATGCGTCTGGAAACTGAGACTTCTCAGGGTGACATGGAAATGGAACAAAAGTGCTGCTGATGTGGAGCATGTCACTCTCATCACTAATTTAATAACTCTGGAGTGACAGAAAAAAAGAGGATCAAAGGCTTTATTGTAAAGACATATAGGCTGTGACGTGCTGCTATTTCCCTCTCAGGATCAGTCAAGTGTTATTATAATTTCTTCCAAAGGTACTTCGTGTTCTTGCATCAATATAAAAAATAAAAATAAAAAAGCTGTCCATAATTGATCTTTTGTTCAAACTGATTAATGCATTGACAAATTATGTATATTTATAAGCTCCAAACTCCCGCTGAGGCTTGTTAGCTGCATCATCATCATTTCATAGAATGTTTAAACAGCCTTTTGAATCAATATCTTCTCACTGTTATCAGTTTATAATGGGACTGCCACTCCCTGCACGCCTATTTAAATGAGCTCAGTGATATCAAAGAGCAGGGGTTATACCTGGAGGAGGTCACCAGATTAATTGATTTTTTGAGGTGGGGGTGACTGCCGCAGCCTTCAAAGCATGGGAGATGAGAGAAATCTATTAGCAAACAAGTGGAATTCAATATGTTGGGGAGTCAGGTTTCGGTCAGCTTCTGCAGGCACATAAATCCAAGCGATGTGAGGTAAAGATTTACCATGAGGGCACATTTCGGATATGATTGTTTGTGTGTGTTTTTTTTTTTTTTTACCTCCACTGAAGACCCTGTGTGGGATAACACTGTGGAGTTAGTCGTCTCTTTTTCATCTCAGCCTGTTGTACAGCACATGAGATTAATTTGCTCTTTAAAGGGCTTTCAGACAAAAAACTAATTATGCATCAACCACTTAGTAATTCCCCATGAGCTCTCATTGTGTGTGTACGTGTTTACATGCAAGTACTGAACCCAGAGCCGGGCTCACTCACTATTTACATTCACCCAGCAATTCCTTGAAAGCTTGTTTTGTACTTTCATCATTACCACTCTCTTCACCTCCTCTCTACCCATTCCACTCCTTTCACTGTGTGTCTCTCTCTCTCTCTCTACACTTTCAACCCTTTGCATCTCTTTCATCTCAACCCGCATCAACCCCACCCTCAGCTCCGCAAGCTGCCGCTGGTACCACCACCAAGTCACCCCCTGCTGTGAATTTTGGAGACTTGACTGTTATTTTCTGAATTTTAATGCCATTTTAAATACAACTATATTGTATATAAAGTGAAGTGCGGGGATGGGTGTGCACCAGCAGCTTCATTATTAGCAAAGCTCGAGTATCTTATGTATGCAATGACCCACTAACCCAGAGATAATAGAGAACAGCACTTGGTAAGATTGTAATGGATTCTCCATCAAGTCGGGTCCAAAAAGCTAACACACAACAACCCATTACCCTGCATGAAGTCATCTTCAAAGCAATCTCAGCACCTCTCATTGATAATGAATGAGAAACCCCCTCTCTCAGTATTCATACCTGTCACTCATGACCATGGAGCTGCTTCCTAATAGCCTCTCTCTGCTCCTGGACAGCAGAGTCGTGTGGTCACGAGCACAGAGCAGAGAGAAAATGGAAATCTCTGGAAAAAAAAAAAGCACAGAAACAATGCACACCACAGAACATGCAAACTACAGACTGTTAATTACTTCATCACCCATATGCCATGTAGGGAGGAAGCTTCTTATTTGTTGTGAGGAGGCTCATTAAGAGGGAGACAGCAAGATTTATGGAACAACATTAGCATGAGGAAGGAAGAAACAAACACAAGGAGATGGACTGGCTGAGAGAGATGGAAATAGAGGAGGGTGAGTCCTTATCTCTGGGGAGGGGACAGAGCAGACAGAACTGCTGAGGCAGCAAAAGCAGGAGAGGCAAGAGAAGCACATGTGGGCAGAAAGAAAGCAGAAAAAGGAAATGGAGGCGAGCATGGTATGGAAAAGGATATGTGAGGAGGGTTTCAGTGCAGTTGCTGGTATGAAGCAAATGGGGAGAAAAAAAAAATCAGAGGGGAACAGGAGCTGAATGTGGCAAGAAAGTTTTTGTGCTTGGCTGCACAGGGGAACATTGATTTGACATGCAATTACAGGAAGGGGACGAGAAATGAGAGAGGGAGCTGGAGAATGAAGCGGGGTGGTAAAGATGTGGAGAGTCGCAGACAGCCAAGGTCAGTTACTGTGTGCAACATGAATGAAACTGTACAAAGGCTGTCTGGCTCAGTCCACAACACACGCACATGCTTATGTGTCTCACACGTGCTGAAATGAAAGAGAACTGATTTGGTTTTTATGAGTTGGTAGTATAAGAAAAAAAAGTGTCAATCTGAATGAATCCATTCAGTTTTAGACAGCAAAGTGCAGCCACCGCAGTGTTTTAAGGGTGGGGTCGAAGGTACAGAGGAGCCCAGCAGAATGCACAGTGGATCTTAAAATAGACTAAATCTTGACACATAATTCCTAATGACTGGCCTGCTAATGGCAATAAAAACTTTGTAACATTTAGCAGGTTTAATGTTCTCTATCTAAGTTTTATTATTTGTTCTGGCATCATGCTAACATAATTGCTATTCAGCATGATAAACAAACTCTAGCTCTGGATAATAAAAGTGTCTCTACATTAAAAAAAAAAAAAGAAAAGGTAAAAAGATATTAAAATGTAATTAAATAAATAAAATTAATTAATTAATAATAATTTAAAAAACTGAATGGTGCCAGAAAAAGTATGTGAGAAAAGACAAACAGTGAAATGTGTAACACTCAAAAACTGTAAAGATGGCAAAATTAACAGCAAATGTCGATAAAATAATGATATTTCTAGTGGATTTGAATATCCTAAAAACTGTGTAACTTTATGGTCACACATTTTAAAACACATTTATGGGACATTATACACATTTTTGGCCCGTTGTTTTTACAGTACACTGTGTAAATTATTGACCTTTTTTTCTGAGATTTTACTAAATGTCTAAACAAAACACTGAAAATCTGTAAAAATAACTGTTAAAACTTATTAACAATTTTTCAGTCCGAAATATGCATTATGTCAAATAATGGCAGATATCTGTAAATTAATGATTTTTGAAAACTGATTTGAATACAGTAAAACAGTCATGTAATTTTCAAGCATTGTAACCAATTAACGAATTATCATTTGGAAAAATATAGATTTTTATGTGTCTATTGTTTGCAGTAATGGACTTTTTTATGGTTAACTGGTACATGTCTTGGATTTTACTATTTGTAATGTAAAATCTGCACAATCTTTACAATAACAGTAAATTGTTCGAGAAGTTACCTTTAAAAACTTTAAAAATATATATATAGTTAATTTTTTTTAATTTTATTTTATGGTGTAGTTTTGGCTATTAAACAAATCAAAGTATCAGCCAAATTAAAACTTGGACCTGCTGGTGGCGCTAGACAAGTCAGGGGGTCATCACCAGAGCTCTAGGACCTTAACTTTGTGTAGAAAGTTTCATGGAAATCTGCTCAAAGTTGTTGAGATAGTTTAGTCTCAACCAAAGCAGTGAACTGACCAACAGCTGCTGGATAAGAACATGCATCAATACTGAATGAATCTTTTATCCTTCAGGGTTGTAGGAAATCCAGGCTGAATTGCTTTGGTTAAATCACCTTGAAGTCAAAATCCTTGCGCTGGTCTGATTCTTTCTCCAGTTTTGTTGTCAATAGTCTTTCATTTTTAAGGCCTCTTTTCTCTCCTTTTTGCTGTTTGGACCAGCAGTGTACAGAGAGAGAGAGGGGGGAGAAGCTTCAGAAATTACAGGATTTTTAAAACAGTACCAGTGAGTCAGGACACACACGACTATTATGCTGTGTAGTTCTCAGCTAGAAATCAGTGTGACTTTCCACCTCACAATAGTGAGTTCAAAACTAGTTCCTCCAGAATGTAAGTGCATTTTCTTATTTAAATATATTTGCAGGATGGAACCACTTCGAAGGCACACATAAGAGAGATATCAGTGTTTTGCAGAAGAGCGTTAAAGAGGACAAAACCCGGCACGGTGTACCGAGGAAACTCATTTTTATCTCTGTGAATGCTAAAACCTGAATTTGTGCTTTTCTTCTAACACTGCCTTTGCTCGTCTCCTTAAAGAAGGAAGTTCTCAGCAACTCTTTCTCCATTTTCCAGCCGATCACAGCTGTAATTGCTTTCTAACTCCTCCATTCTGCCGCTCTCTGTCTGTCTCTCCACAGAAGGGTCACGTAAGCAACATGCTGTGCTCTTTTGACGCTGACGGTCGATTAAAGGTCTCAGTATACAGCTTTCTGCTCTGCTGCTTGGTGTGATGTCTTGTCAAAACCTTTTTTATAAATTGTTTTTGTGTGTGTGTGTGTGTGTGTGTGTGTGTGTGGTTTCTGTGTGCCTGTAGGAACACCACCAGCCGGGTGACGCTGTAAATACACTTACATGTCAGCTTAAGTGTATTTTTCTAGTTTTCTGTTGACTAACATGGTCTCATTTTATTTTAGGTGCGTGTAGCTGTATAGTTTCTCCTTCTCCTTTGTGAACTAACCCTACCTGGTCTTCCTCTTTTCTTGTCCTCCACAATCACCATTTTTTTAAGTTAATCTTTTTGCAACCTTTCTGCTTCTTTGTGGTTTCTCTTGTCTTGTCATGTCACGTAGGTTTTCTCCTCCCCTTCCTCCTCCTCCTCCTCCACTATTTGATTCTGAACTGCCAATCTTTTTGTGTTTTTTTTACAGGTGAATGGTAAAGAGCTGTCCCGCCTTTCAGGGGATCCCACCCTGGACATACGGGACCCTGTGCTGTCCAACATACTGAGGCGGGGGGCTCGCAGACGGGCGGGCCTGGCTGGAGCTCCTGGAGGGCAAGTGCCAGTGACCATGGGCATGGCCGACTGTGTGGACAGCTGCACCCAAACGGACATCAGCTTCCAGCATATGTTGACTCTGGGCAAGAGCAGCCAGCATCCCTGCGGAGCTCCACCCCCGCCCGATCCACCGCCTTCCCCTCCACTGCCGCCACTACTGGAGCCATATCTACTCAATGAACTGTGAGTGGGAATTCTCTAATAGGCCTCTGCAGCATGTCTAACCGTCAGACCGCAGCTCATCTGCTGTGTTAGTCCACGCCGTTCTGTTCGCACATTTGAACTCGGTGTCTGCCCCAATTACCAAAAATGTTATGTCCTGCATGTTCTCAGCTTCATAGAGCCCGTATACTACGACCCCACTGACTACTTTGACATCACTCAGCATGAAGTGGACAGGCAGGACGAGCTTGAATATGAGGTGAGAGGTCATTAGTTGTCTTAGAACTCCAAATCTGCTGCTGCACTCTTCTCTGTATGACATGCTTTAACTTTTCTCTGCCTGCACCAGGAGGTGGAGTTGTATAAGTCTCGTCAGCAGGATAAACTGGGTCTGACGGTGTGTTACAGAACGGATGAGGAGGAGGACCTCGGCATCTATGTAGGAGAGGTGAAGACAGTTCGACCAATCGATACATCCTCCCTCTTCTTCTCATACTTAAGCACTAAACATTCCTTTCTTTGTCAGGTGAACCCAAACAGCATTGCTGCAATGGATGGCCGCATCCGCAAGGGCGATCGAATACTGCAGGTAGAAGACGTATTGTACTGGAGCTCACATTCCTTCTATTACTGCTCATGTATTTCTATTACCTAGAGTCACGCAGAAATCTGAAGTCTTAGATAGCGCCTTGGCCTACAATAGGTTCACTCTAGCTTTATTCACAATCTAAAGGAAACTGCTAATAGTGCAGCCTTTAATAGGAATCCTTCTTGAATATTATTACCCATGCTATTAGGGTAAAACGAGATTTCAGAAGAAACCCCCTTTCCCTGAAGTGTGCCATTTAATTGAGTCTATCATTGGTAAAAAGGGTCTTACATTATGTGACATTACTTCAAGTTTATCCTCTTCTTCCTGTGTCAGATAAATGGAGTGGACATCCAGAACAGAGAGGAGGCGGTAGCTATTCTCACCAGAGAGGACAGCACTAATGTCTCCCTGCTTCTCGCACGACCCGAGATAGAGGTGAGGAAATTGGATATGTGGTCTTTGGGGAGAGAACGCAGCAAGGGCTCAATCTGAATGCTGACCTAAAAAATTCATTCTTCCTCTGTTATCTCCCTTCTTGATGTCGCAAGAAAATTAGCCTTCCTTCTAGGGTGCAGGTGATACTCGGTGTTAGCGTTTAGTCATGAGATCGGGAGGCAAAAAAGACCAGAAAGGAAGGTGATGGAAAAGAAATTGGAGACGTGAATAAGAGCTTGGTGCTCAGCTTTGTCCCATCCTGCAGGTTTAAGGAGGCAGAAAAGCAAAGAGGTGCAAAAACATGATGAGCACAGAGATAGCACCAAGAGGGAGACAAAGACAAATAGTGCTTGTGCTCACAGTGCTAATGTGGTAGCACTTTGTTTCCCTCAAGGTCACTCTTCCAGCAGATATGAGGGCACCGTAACACACATCGGACGCCCCCTCAATAACACACCTCTGCCGAATCACTTGTAAACGCACAACTTGACACATGTCGACACACTCAAATGGATTTTTCATTGCATAGTGTTACAAAAATGTGCTGCAGATGGAGACAGAGTCTGTGTGTGTGTGTGTGAGAATGCAAAAAATATATAAATTTGTATGCTGCCCGAGCCACAGGGCAGATTTAAAAGGCTCTCATTAAAATGGTTTTAGTCAGAGACGCTCGCACACACAAATAACCTCTCCTCTGATTAAATATGTCCTTGTGTTTGAACAGATGAGTGCAAGTGGTACCTGTGAAAGCCTGACAAGATTTATATTGCTAAGGCATTGTCCCACATTAAGATTCAAGCGAGAGAGGGGAGGACCATCAGAGGGAAAAGCACAAGCAGAGATTAAAGCTCGATCTGTTGTCTTTGGGGAGGAAGAGGGAGAACTGAAGGGGTTGTCAAAGAATAAGAATGAAGGCAAAGATAATCAATACTGCGTCTCACGGTCTGCATGCAATTCACATTCGAATCAAAGCAATTAGGCAAAATCTGCAAAGAGGAGGAGGGGGAGTGAATTGTTTACTAATTTAAGCCACAATATCTGCATTATATTTCATTTGTTCTAGAAAGGATGCCAATCAGAACTCTAAAGTAAACAGATTGGAAACAGCAACAATTTTATGAAATGTAAAATACCATCAGTCACAATGGCTGGATCACTCTGAGAGGACATTTTATTCTCCAATACTGAATACTTGACTTGAATCTGTTTATTTACTGTTTTTCTATAAACCATATTGTTGTTATTTTAGCTCTATCGACAAATTACTTAACAGAAACCAAATGCAGTTTCATAGTACTGAAGTGATGCAAAAGTCTCGAAGGGCACTGGCTCCATCTAGTGACAGTAAGGAGCGCTATTCTTACATCAGTTCAGAAGTATGTTGCAGTCAAGATTAAAGCTGCTGTAATCAATATTTTACTCTAGCAGTGGATTGAAGTCTTAGATTTAATGTGCCTCGTATTAATTTGGCAGCTTCTCTCAGGTCTTCCAGAGTCTGTTACGTCGTTGTTTTGGTTTTCTGGTCTTTATTCGTTTGGTTTACATATATTCTCTTAGAGTTGCTCTAAGATTCTACTGTAGGCAGTGGTGGAAAGTGACGAAATGCACTCAAGAATCGAGCCTTTTCATTTTATGCTAAATTATAGCCCACTCCACTATATTTCACAGGGAAGTATTATTCTTTTTACTCTACTACATTTATCTGGCAGCTTTAGTTACATGTTGGATAATGATTTCACACAATAGACAATGCTGGATAACTTTTAAGATCCAACACATTGTTAAAGATTATACGAGTGGTTTTCACCATTTAGACCTCTTACATCTTACAAAAAGCACCACGAGATGTCTGTGAGTTGTTAAATGTTCCACCAAACTTCTCACATTCTGACATCAATAAATACTCAAATAATGCAAAATCTCACAAAATCTAATATTAGAGGAAAAAAGTCCAAGAAATAACAGATTCATTTTATCAGAACATTGTTTCTTTCCTCTTCCGTTAATCATGAGATTTATGTGGAGTTCCTGGATATAAAACTGGATATAAAGTAGTTCAAACAAGTTAATCTCGTTGTACTTTGTGTCTGATGACAATAATAGAATTCTATTCTATTCTATTCTATTCTATTCTATTCTATTCTAGCTCCGCCTGCAGCAGCTACAAGTGTACCATAATGCTGACACACTGATGCATCATTATAATTAATCGAAGTCTGAGGGGAAGAGAGAAAACACAACCTTTTACTTTAGTATTTTAACTGCATTTTGCCGCAAATACTTGTGTAGTTTTCTTTAATGAGGACTCTTCATATAGAACTTTGACTCATAATGGATTTTTTTTTACATCAGAATTTGGTTGTATTGCTGTCTGACACTGCAGCATAATGAAAATCAGGCTTCTAATCCAATCTTCTAATCTAATCTTACATTGTTGTATTGGTACTTTCACTTACGTAAAGGATCTGACTACTTTTTCCACCACTGACTATAAACTACCTATCATAAAAATAACTACATTTGATAAAGGTAGTAGTAGAACATTTAACTACTGAAGAGCAAGAAAGGATATTGGTGGAGCGCTAAACAGAGCTGAAAGGAAATGGCTTTGGACCTGGAAATGTGATATTTTTTGCAAATGTGCAATAACATCCTAATGCATACTTTTCCTTTGTCTCTTTTTTTCTCTTTAAATATGAACTCCTCTACTGGGATGCCTTGAACTCAATTCATCACCTTGCGCCTGATGCACCTTCTAGAATGACAACCAGCTAGATCCGGATGAGCTGGACCTGGAGCCCCTGGACAATGCTGTCCATCTGGCCAGCAGCCACAGACTGAGGCACAGCCCCTCCATACTGGGCGCTGGACCAGGCGGTGTTGCTGGTGGAGGTGTGCTACGTAGCCACAGTCACTCAGTAAACAGGGATTCACCAGATTTGCTGCAGACAGTGCTGAGCAACAGCCAGGAGCTGGACAGTGGTGTTGGCCGGACAGATGAAAGCACCAGATATGAGGAGTCTTCGGAGCACGACCTCCTGGGAGACGACCACACCAGTGCCTCCAATACGAATGCCACCAACACACCTGGCAGCATGCGCAAGTTTTTGTCCAGTAGAGGGGACACTCCACCCCTGCTGCACTCCCAGGACCTCCAGTTCAGCACAGACTCTCTCCTCGGGCTGGACTGTGTTAATGGAGGAGGTCTGGAGCAGATGGAGCGACTGGAGAGGGCCTACATGGCAGATCCTGTGAGGATGATGATGCCTGGGTTGACAGAGGAGGAGTGCGAGAGGTATAAAGAGCTCCTGGAAATCAAGTGTTACTATGAGAAGAACAGCAATGCTCTGATGTTACAAGGGCCAGCACAAGAGGAAGGGGGCGTCTCACTGGATGTGAACAGGAACGAGAGCCTGACGCAGCATGAGATGGCCCTTTTAGAAGAAGAGCTGCGCCACTTGGAGTTCAAGTGTCGCAACATCTTGAGAGCGCAAAAGATGCAGCAGCTGAGGGAGCGTTGTATGAAGGCTTGGCCTCTTGAAGACAAGAATGGAGCGAGTGCAGGGGCTGGAGTCGGAGCTGGACGCTTGGACATGATCGGTACTCTGGCGAGCGAGGAGTCCTGTCACCATGCTCTGTCAGATATTAATGAGCTTCCAGAGAGGGAGCGCTCAGACAAGGACAGCACGAGTGCCTACAACACTGGAGGGGAAAGTTGCAGGAGCACCCCTCTGGTCAATGAACAGTACCCTTCACCCTCCACTCAGAGTCTGGAGGGAGGAGATGTTCTTCTCCCAGAAGGTATGCAGGTTCCAACTAGGCAGAGAGAAAGAGGAATCAGGACGGGAGACGGGACAAAAGCAAACTTGAACCAACCCTACTCTCCCCACTCTCACAGGAGAGGAACTGAGGTGAAGACATCCAGCCCCGGAGCAAAGGTTAGGTCCTTGTCCCGAGATGTAGGTACCAGGAGGGGCTCAGATGGAGGGGTGAGGCGTAGCCCCAAAACCAGCGGGACAGCTGAGAGGGCTGGTGGACGCAGTGCCGAAAACAGTCCTTATCTGTCCCGCCGTCAGACTGAAACAAAGCCACCTCAGCGCTACCTGAGTTGCATGCAGCTGAGGTCCCCCTCCACCTCTGAGCGGCTGAGTGGACTCAGAAACACCTCCATGGAGGGCACCATGGACACTGAGGGTGACGCCAGCCCCATGAGCCTGGGCAGCACATGCAAAGACGCCAACCAGCTCCCAGGAGCTGTGTCCTTACCCTTGTCCCCTTCACTGATGCCTGCCTCCCCTCGCATGGAGTGGAAGGTGAAGATCCGCAGTGATGGCTCACGCTACGTGGCCAAGCGGCCTGTGAGGGATCGCCTCCTGAAGGCACGAGCCATGAAGATCAGAGAGGAGCGCAGCGGCATGACGACGGACGATGATGCTGTGAGCGAAATGAAGATGGGCCGTTACTGGAGCAAAGAGGAGCGCAAGCAGCAGCTGCTGAAGGCCCGAGAGCAGAGGCGGCGCAGGGAGTTCATGATGCAGAGCCGTCTGGACTGCATGAGAGAGCGGGAGAGGGAGCAGGGCGGCAGTGCAGGAGGTCAGCAGGGAAGCACACAGCAGCAGGAACCCACATCCATCCTGGAGCTGTGCCACCGCAGGAGCATGAAGAAGCGCAGTCGCAGGATCCTAGACAACTGGATCACCATACAGGAGCTCCTGGCTCATGGCACCAGGTCGGCTGATGGGAAGAAAGTCTACAACCCCCTGCTGTCTGTCACCACAGTCTGAGATAAGATGGGAGGCAGAAAGTTAGGGAGAGATAAGAAAGTGCCAAAGTGTTTCGATAGGGCCTGGAGGATGAGCACAAGCTGCTTCAGTAAACTTTGGCACAATTATTTGTCTGCAGGGACGCAGCAACACAAAACCCGTGATGGCAATATAAAATAGCATTACTTAGGCCCCAGCTTAAAATATTAAAAAGTCATAACTGAGACTGCCAGGTTTTGTTTGTCCAGTAACAGAAAACAACCATATTTATAGTACTGTCTAACTAAAAGGTGCATTCCACAAATGCACTCTACAAAATCACAAATGTAGTGTATGCTAAAAACACTGTAGCGTATGACAGACTTAGGAAATAAAGCACAGATGAGCATTTCCAAACATATTCTAGTCAGAAGGCTGACACAACATAATAATGAGATGCTGTGAGAGATCACACCACCTCCTTTTCAGCCATGAGTGGAGTGGCTCACAACTCCAAAGTAATCTTTGCAGGCCTCTGTTACACCTTTATCATCGACAGAACAGAGAAAAATGGGGCCAAGAATCATGCAGCTGTGAAAACATATTGAGGGAACAGTCACTTCTGTGCCATAAAACTGTAGATTTAGTGTCCACAACAGACTTTTGATTAAGCAGATCCTCAAAAGAACATTGTGTGCTAGCTAATGTAGTTACATTTTTTTCCCCTCATTCTTGCAGTGTTCGTATACAAACGCTCCCTTTTTCAACACGGGAAATGCAACATCACTGTCAGAGCACACACGTTTTTGTGATCATGAGGAGCTGAGCGGTGCCTTCATTTCAGGCAGACCTGACTGTATAGCACAATTTTCAAAGTGATACAAAAAGACTGAAATGTTGTTGCTGGGGGAATAAATGCTGAAGCAAAGAGCAGCTGATTTACTAACGTAGTGATTTTTTTTAAAAGAACGGCACATTGTATCATACAAGCACAGGAAACATTTGATATTGTTGCATTCTAAAAGGCGCCTTTGCCACTTAAAGAGACTCATTTTTTTTCTTTTCCATCCTTTTTTAGCATCTCTGAATTTCCTCCTTTCCCCCCAGACCAATATGTTTTGGTTAATATGCAATATAATTTGTTCATGTTGACTGTGATCAAGGTTGTTTCATTACAAAATAATAATCTTCAGAATCCCTATTCATTAACTTATAATTTTTGTGCTCCCTAGAATATCAATTATCAACAATAATGGGGTGACTAATTTATAAAACACACTGAAAAGCTGATTTTTTCATTTGGCTTACATGCATGTTTGATATTGAGACCGAAATGATGTTTTTCCATGTACTTTCAGATTGAAGGCCTTTAACATACTGTAATCGTGGATGTGTCTTTCTATGACTTTGCTCAAAATCCTAGCATAGAAAAAAAAAACAAAAAAAAAAACATGGTGTACTTGTTTGTTCAATATTGTGATGTCTGGTGTCATTGCCATTTTACAGTGAAAGCTTTTCTAAATAAATGCTGTGATCATGAAAACAATGACGGTGGTCCACATTTGTGTCCGGATGAACACAATAAAATCTATCATTTTATGGTGAGAAATAATGAGTCCATGTATCCTAAACAATTCTAAACCTTTAATTTTCTAACAAGAGTGAAAAGAAACAAAGGCAACAGTAAAATGAAAAGTTTATACACAAACTCACGACAACTGTGTGTCTGTAATATCAATAATAATAATAATAATAATAATATAATCCTTTGAACCCAGAAAACAAAATAAATCGAGACAAAGTGAGTTACAGTGAAGTTACCTTAATTTGCAAAGAGAGAGAGAATGAGGGAGGAAGAAAAAAAAGGTCAGATTGAAAGGAATAAAACGTGGAGTCAAAAGGATGGGAGCTAAAAAAAAAAAAAAAAAAACAGTGAGAGAGAGAGAGAGAGAGAGAGAGGGAGGAAAAAAAGGCTTTAAGAAGAAGGAGAGGAGGAAAAGACAAAGCCAAGAGGTACAGATATCAATTTTGGGAAAGTAGCACCAAAAACATTAATGCCTGTTTTTAACACTTCCCAAAATTTACTCACTTTATTCAAAATGCATGTCCCCTCGAAACAGCATCAAAACACAAGAGTCAATACAACTAAAAAAAATACAAGTGTAACCAAGATGCTGTTGTCTCAGATCAGCAGTCAAAAAAATCCTCCTCGGCTTCAGGAATCATGCCTGTACGACTGTCTAAATAAACCCATAGCTTATCCAACTTCAACAAGTGAACTCAAGTGAAGTGAAACTGCGAGTGCCGGTCCCCAGACAGGCTTCGGCTGAACTAGCATTAATACAGTTGGAATAACATAGCACACCGACTGACCTCAGAGACAACTCTAGACCAAAGACGCTCCCTATGAATGGTATGTCTCACATCGGTCCAACACAGTCTTATTATGTTCACAGGAAAAATGGATCCAGGGAAGGTGGTGGAATAAGGTTTGGGGAAGACGGCGAGTCTGAAAAAAAAAATTGACGCAGGAGATACGGCTGAGACAGTGGAGTGTAGCGTAAGAGTCATGGCTCTGTTAGTGTCTGAATGAGTGAATGAGGGATGAGAAGGGGAGGTAAGGTACGGGGTGGGGAGGGGGATGTCCTGCATCTTTCTAGAACTTGACACTGTCTTCTGGCACAGAAAGCTCTGTTGCTTCAAGTCCTCTGACTTATCCATTTACACAGAGCTCCAGAGTTGACTGCATCACAAAATCTGTGAAAATAATAAAGTAATTAATACTTGTGATTCATTTTGCAAGATGAAAAAATGAATTTTAAAAAATCCTAAAAATCAACATAAAGGGGCCGTTACCTCTGGGTGGGTCTGGACAGGTCGGTGAGGGGAGGGGCTGTGGCTGAGAGTGCAGGTTTTCTTTGACTCTGAAACATCCAGTGATCGTTCTCCCGCCCCTTCCCCACTGCCACCTCTGTGGCTCTTCCTCTTCCTCTTGGAGTCCTTGGCTCGTCCACGGCTCGTTCGTCGCTGCTCGTCCAGCTCGATCTGAGAGAGAGAGAGAGAGAGAGAGGACACTATAAATGCAGCATCTGAAAGGGGCACATGGCAAATATGACTAAATTTGTAACACTTGCTGTCTACTGATGTGCAACACAATCTATCACTCTTAAATCTATTTATCATTCTTTAAAAACTCTCCACTTGGTGCTCGATTAGCTCAGCAGGTTGGGTGGGCGACCCATGAACAGGACCTGGCCATTTACCGCAAGTCCTTCCCCCACTCTTCTCCCCATATTTCCTGTCTATCTCCACTTTCGACTATAATAAAGAGCCCTAAAAAGCTAAAAAACATGTGAAGCTTACTTCATTATCACTTTGTTACGCAATGTCAACAGTATTGGAAGCAGGGACATCTATAACACAAATTTGATTCCACGAAACAGGAACCCTCTGTAGGTCTTTATCAGTAGTAGCACTGTGGAGCTATGTTTTCATGGCTGAAACCCGCTTTCAAAAAAATATATAACTGCACAGTCACACTTTCATGCCGTGGCTTTCACACTTAGCAACAAATCTGCAGGTGGCTGTTTGATACGTTTAATTAGATCCATAGATTTAAAGGAAAAAAAAAACAGAAGTTCAGTTTGTTTTTCTGACCTGAATGAGTGTGTGCAGTGTTTCTCTGGGTGGAACAGAGACAGCTTGCAGGACTCTGTGGATGGTGTTTGTCTGGTCCAAGGACACCTCCAGCAGATCTCCTTCCAGCTGCAGCTCCTCCAGATGGACCCTGGTGGCTGGGGAGAGCTCCACTACTTGACCTTTCAGCAGAGGCAGCAGAGGCAGCAGGGACCCCACACCTGAGAAGAAGGCAGAGACACAGTCAGTGCTGATGCCTGAAGAATACAGTATGCCTTCAACGGTTATGTTGAAATCTACATTTTATCTTACCTGTAACATTGGACTTCTTGTTGATGCGATTTTCACATCCAGCCTGCCAAACACGGATCAACAGTTTATGATTAGCCTACACTTGGTGAAACATAAAAATAAAGTGAAAGTCAGAACAGGGCATTTACCTGAGTTCCATTGGTTTCTTGTTTGTTCTTTTTAGCTGAATTCTCCTCTGTTAGATCGATAACTCCATCCTCTCCTTCCCCTCCCTCGGAGTCTGACAAAACGATGACCGAACTCCCTTCTGTCTCCTTTTCCATGTCTTCCTCTTTTTCGGCTTCATGATGGAGAGTCTCTTTGAGTTCTTGCAGCCTCTGAAGTGTCTGCTGCAGCTCTGGTGTCTCCAGTGCCTCCTTGGCTCGGCCCTGCCAGGTGATGGCCCTCTCTGTGAGACACTGCAGTGCTTCTCCTTCAGGCAGACGCACAGGCAACCTCTGCAGGGCCACAAGTAATGCCAGGATAGTCTCCAGGCGTGGGCGCCGTGACCGCTGGCATCGCGGACACAAGAAGCGCGAGTCCCAATCCCACCAGCAAAGGGGGTTAACTGGTGGTCCAGAGGAGGGCAGTAGGGTGGGGAATGGAACACAGCCACCATGGAACCAGTCCTTACACAGATGGCAGCGGAGCTGAGGAGTGCGAGGCTGCCTGGAGCACACACACACTGACTGAGGAGGGGTGGTACAGCTGTGGTTACTGTTACCGTTCTCTTTTACAGAGTTCTCGGAGTGGCTAGAAGTGTCTGTCTCCATGGTGTCATCCCACCTCCCGTTCTCCTTGTCATCTTTATGACTTGTATTGTTAAGTCCAGTTTTATACATGTTCACTTTCTGCAACCTCAGTAGTGCCTCCTTTTCCTGGTGCTCCCCTTCTTTGAATGCCATCACCTACAGACAAGGCACCAAAATAGACTCACATACACAACTAGTACTGAGGCATAAAAAGTACACACCCACAAAGGAAGACATTTATCTCTGAAAGTTTAAAAAACCACAAAGACATAATCAGTATACTCACAATAGCTGCAGGATCCCTCAAGTCCTGAGCAGAGAGTCCCAGAGTGTTTGTATCAGAATCATCCAAAGGATCATCCA